AGTTAAAAATATAAACTAACCTTCCTGGGGCTTTATGGATAGTAATTGGTGGAACCCACTTTTGAACCAAGCTCAACAAGGCTCCTGAGTCATAGTCTTAACTTCTACATTATGTTAGAAAAAGTAAGTCACGTGGTCACCCATTTCCTTCACAAAACGCTTTTTCAATCCATTTTATTGAGTCTTTTTATCCCTGGCTTGTGTGACTCACTTAGTTGGAGCTTCAACCCATAAACCAAAATGTGTGGGTTCAATTCCTGGTGGGGCACATGCCTAGGTTGAGGGTTCAGTCCCCAGTCAGGACAGGAACGAGAGACACCCGACGAATGTTTCTTTCTCACATAGATGTTTTTCTCCCTCTCTCTTCTGCTCTCTTCTTCACTCTCTAAACTCAATAAGCATGCCCTCAGGTAAAGATTTTTTTTTAAAGAGTCTTTTTAAATCCATAATTATACCCACAAAGGCTTATGGAACATATTTTTAGCTGCTAACCTGCTGACACTTTAGCAATTTCCTGAGCCTCTATTGACACAATAGCCCAGGGGAAATTTCTAAGAGTTAGAAATACTCCTGTGATGAACTATCACAGAAGCCAAAGTGATAAGAGACAGGAGTAACTGCCTCTGTCTTCTGGATTTTACGGTTGGAGGCTTCGGATTACTGCCTTAGGGGTCCTCTGCTGAATGACTGCTTGACTGGTACTCCACCTCATTAAGGCAAATGATCTGCCAGGGACACTGTCAGGGTCTGGGCACTACTGTTTAGTTTTCAATGGTAATCAACAAAATGATTTTGTTATTGATGGACGATTATAGTATTGGGATATTTAGAAATTTGTGAGACTTAAACAAATCTAATACTAAGGTTTACGATCTTCAGTTTTACAAGTCTTCTTTCTAGTAGAGGAATTATAATATGGAATCTGTACCACTCACTGTAGTAGGAACTGGGCAATGAGATCTTAAGGGATGCTGGGATTCTACCCAATTTTACAAGTGTGCTACACTGGAAAAAGTGTGATTGGTGCAATAGATCTAGAATATAGTCCTAGTCTACCTGATTGACTTAAACCAATGACATTTTCTGAGACTAATTAGTAAAAATAAATAAATAAATAAATAAATAACCAACCAACCAACCAACAAACCAAACTCCACGGCTTTGGTTAAATAAGACACTGATTTACAAGTATTCTGTAAACTATAAAGTGTTTAAGTAGAAAATATTATTTAGCATGTATTTAGTATAATCTTTTAGGAAGCTTTTAGAACTTACAAAAAGCTTATCAGTAAGTTTGGAGTTTGATTATTTTCATAGACATTTTCATGTCTCTTTCAAATTTAAGTTTGAAGACAAAAGATGTCTATGTTATCCTTGCTAAGAGCATGAACAAAATAAACAATGAGCTCTTTGAAGAATGTTCTCCAAACATGTATACATGTGTGTAGTGTATTCACTGAGAAATGTCTGATCTCTGGATGTAACCACAATATCGGTCCAGTGAGTATTCAAATTTAATAATTAAGATAGTCACTAATATCCACTGCTGTTCCTCTGCCACTTTTTATTGCATTTCCTATTGGTCCTTTAGTATTTCACTCTCATTGACCATGGATTCTAAATCATTATTTGTTGGTTATAGACCTTTACAATGCCCAGTGGCATTTTCCACTGATGACAGCAATAACAGATGATGTTGAGCCAAAGCTACTAGGAGTGAAATGCTGAAAGTAAAGTGACAATAAATAACTGTCACTCCATTACTAAACAGTTTCTAAAATTGTTTTTAGTGCATGTTCAATATAGCAGAGTCTGCATAATACAAGAACAAAAAGGCATTTACTCCTTACTAACAGCAGCAAACAAAAAGAACCCAAACACTTGTCTTATGCAGTGAGCAAGAATTCCTCATTGATCATGGCATAGGTATTCAAAAAATTCTCAACAGGTTCCACTTCAAAAATTTATGGTATCTTCTCAAACTGATGGTAACTGGCATATGTGTCAGTAGGTACCCTCAGATCAATGAATACAAACTTTAGGAAAGCTGAACAGAATATAAATACAAAGTCTTAAATGGCCATAAGACTAAACATATGACTATATTCTAAGCATGGAGATGTGAATGTAAGAGATATGGAACTATGCAAGATGCTTAGGAGAGATCATAAAACCTATCTAAACATGATCTTGGTTTTGGTCAGATGATTTGGGTGGGAGGCAGATTTGAGCTATCCTTCTTGGTCAGCTATTTTGTAAACTTCAGGTACAAGAATGAAATCTGTTTTAATTAACTCACAACACAGATATTCAATGAAGATCTAATTGGAGTTAAATTATTCATGCTATACAATCATTACTCTTTAAATTTAAATTTATGCCTCTCCTTTCTTTTTCAGACCACTCTTAGCATCCTTTATTCTGTTCTTTTTCATACCATTGATAATATATCAGATTTGTTGTAATGATGATTATTTGCTTGCTTTTTAGTAAAGGATTCATTCTATATACTTTATAACCTAAGGAAACTGATATGTGATAATCACCAAGGTTCTTAGTCTGAAGACATAATCTACTTACTAGATAAGGTATATAGATCTGAGCTTCAGGGATCTTGTTAATAAAACCAGGAAAATAATATCAATATAGCAGAATTAATGAAATAATTAAATAAATAGTATATGTGAAGAGACCACCTTTTGTTGTTTTCCCCTAAAAGTAAAGTTGAAGAATGAAAGGTAGTTTATTTTGGGAATAGACTTTAGGAAATAGAACTGGGAGCCTGAAAAGAGTGAATAAGTAAATAAAGGCCAATGCAAGGTTGTATTATCAACCTGGTCAATGCTGTAGGAAGTGGGGCTTGATCTTCCTGGGAAACTTTTCAGGACGTGTGGAAAATGAACTTCAAAGCAATCCATCCAAGGAATGGAAGAGTATTATTGAAGGTTTGCTTTCTGGGGTATTAGTGCCTCACACAAGATTGTGTATGTGTTAGGATATCTAAGTAGCATTCTGAGGGGTTCCCCATGGCAATAGTATGGAAGTCTCAAGGCAGGAGGTGAATAAAATCCAAGCTATTTGGAATTTATTCAGGGCAACCTATGAAAGCAGAAAGTAGCCAGGTTGAACATAAAGTTGCTCCCAGTAGATTTGATGGTCAGGGATCTATCTTATCACCAGACAGTTGTGAGGCTGTCCCCCTGGGTCATTCCAGATAAACTGGATCATTGGGGTACTGTGCTCAGTGGAACACAGATCTTTGATCCAGAGAACGTTCACAGTGATTTTCACCAGGTTGGCTACTGTGGATTCTATGAAAGATTCTAAGATCTAGGACCACAGTGATCATCACCTTCATAACTTAAAATTGTCGGGCGGCTATCTAGCTGGCCTGCAATACCGCGCAAGAAAACAAATACAAATAAAAAGAGTGGTAATAAGAAACTTATCTTCTTAGCCTACCATTTAAAGTTTGTCAAACATTCCCATATGCATTATTATTTTTTGGTGTTACCAGTGCTGCTGTGAGAAGGTATGATATTATTATTCTCATTTTTCAGGTGAAGAAATTTGAAATTTCTAAGTTTGAAGGGCCTTAACCAAGGGCTTTTGTCTCCATGTAATAAGCCAGAATGAGAATCAAAGCATGCTTGTCCTAATGCTATTGTTCTAAAAGTTGCCTTTATTTTAACAAAATTTCCCCTAGTCAGTCCCTTTGAAAGCTTGAACAATTACCTGACACTTCTAGTTGCTCAACAGCAGCCTAAGTGAATCCCTCAGTCACTTCACTAAAAGCAAGTGCAAAGTTTACCATTAGCAAAATTTATTTGCAATTTCATTGCCATTTGTAAAGTTTGATTTCTTACCAAGAATGCCTACTAGATTTGAAGAACACTATCTCCAGATGCTGTGTGTCCCTGGACAGTTCCCAACATGAACTGGTTTCTAGAGGTCTGATAAATAATTCAAGTGATCACTAAGAAATAAAAACTCAATGTTCCTGATAAAACAAAAGTCTTGTGACATATACCAGTCCTAGGTTATCTGAAGATTTGAAAATATGTAACTTTCTTAAATTTATCTTTTTCCATCTGTCTCTAAATTTTAGGCACTGAATTAAACTAATTAAATACTAGTAATAATGATAATACTACTATTACTATAACTTCCACAAGTAATAGTAACCAGTTATTGAGAATTTACTGTAAGTGCTCTATTAATTAACTTACTTAATCCCACAATAATCCTTATATAGAGTTATCCTCACTTTATGATTAAGAGACCTGAGATAGAGAAAGGCTGAGTCAGTTTCCCAAGTAACAGAGCAAGAAGAGGCTGGTTTGATGTGTCTGCAGGCAGCCTTAGCCACTACGCTCTACTGCCTGGCATTCAGACTCAGGTATTGTATAGCCTGGTCTGCAGTTGCAAACTGTCAGGCTCTAGGAAACCAAACTTTCACAGGTTCCCAAGCAGTGGGTAAAAGGCAAGTAAAGTACAGTATCGCAGAGTAATTGAGAAATTGATTACTATCTTTGGAGGAGGGTGTGTGTGTGTGTGTGTGTGTGTGTGTGTGTTTTGAGGGTAGGGGAGAAAAAGGACATTGTAGAAAGGAAGAAAAGTAGAGGAGTGCGGCCTCTGAAGTTGTTTTGTGGGGTTTTTTTTTTGCTCTAGCATTTCAGTAGATATTTACAACTTCTTAGTCTCTCTTTTCTACTCTAAATAAACATGTACATTTCACTTTTATATTCCCATGACTGCTATAAAGATCAAGAGCGTTATGAGGTGATTCACTGCCTGACCAGAAACCGTCTCTTGTGTGCTCTCAGGCAGGGGGCAGGGGAAATAACTCCCATCACACTGCTGCCTCTGCTTTCGGAGGCTCTTCTCCCTGACTTGCAGAACCAGCTCTAATAGGTCCAGGAGTCCCACCTGTGAGAAGCTGCCTGGATTAACCAGTGAAGTGCAAAGTACCCATCTCTCCCCACAGGGGAGGGACATACCCGGTCAGTTTTCCCTTCAGTCTGAATGCTGGTGTGGCTGTGGACTTCATGATCCTCCTCCAGGTCGGAAATATCCTCCAGTTCCTCTGGGGTCTATAAAAAGAAAGCAAAACATTGCTGGTGGGAATACAAAATGCAAAACAGTCTGGCAGCACCTCCAAAAGGAAGCATAGAGACTAATATGACCCGGCAATTCCATTCCTAGGTATACACCCAAGAGAAATAAAAACGTATGTCCACAAAAAAATCTTGTAAACAAATGTTCATAGCAGCATCAATCATAATAGCCAAGAAGCTGAAACAAGTCAAACACATCTCTACTGATAAATGGGTAAACAAAATGTAGTAAATTCATTTAATAGGATGTTTTTTGGCTATAAAAAGTAATGAAGTGCTGATACATGCTGCAACATGGGTGAAACTAGAAAATATTATGCTAAGTGAAAGAAGTCAATCACAAAAGACTACATATTGTATGATTTCATTTACATGGTATGCCTAGAATAGGCAAATTTATAGAGACAAACATTTGATGAGTGGGTCTCAATGGCAGAAGTGGGTGAGGAGGGAGTGGGTATGACTGCTACTGGGTATGTGTTTTCTCTTTGGAATGACAACAATGCTTGGGAATTCGACGGTGTGAATGGTCACACAATGCTATGCATATACCCAAAACGCTGAATTGTACAATTGAAATGTTGAAATTAATGGTTTATGAATTATATCCTAATACATTTTTAATTAAATTTATTGGGATGACAATGGTTAATAAAATTATATGGGTTTCAAGTGTACAGTTCAACAATACATTGTGCATATTGCATCACGTGTTTACCACTGAAAGTCAAATCTTTTTTACCATATTTGACCTCCTTCTCCCTTTACCACCTTAATCCCTCACCTCCCTCTTTCTTTGTAACCAACATAGTGTTGTCTGTGTCTATGTGTTTTGGTTTGTTTGTCCTATTTGTTCATTTGTTACTTTCATTTTTATATCCTAATAATCTTTGAAAAGAAAAGAAAGCAAAACTGATCAGAAGATATTTTTTCTCTCAGTGAGTAGCAATTTGGCTAACCGCTATGTGGTTATCACAAACCAAGGTGTTGACAGGTTGAATGAAATACTTACATTATCATTAAAGCCATATAACATCAAAATGCCACTAAAATGATTGAGAAATTAAATTTTCTAAGAACTTAATAAATAATTTAACATGAACTGCAGTAGCTATTCTTAATAGTTAACCTCCTTACATTCCTTTTTTCACTTTCAGTTTAAATACTTCTTTGTTCTGAGGTGTCTTGCTCAGGAACTCTCTAGACTGGGGCCAGTTCCTCTGCCACGCCTTCCCTGATCCCCTTTGCTTTCATTATCATAATTCTAACCGTACTTTATTATATCATTGCTTGTTGAATTAGGCAGCCAATTGTTGAACTGTCTGCTCTGTGAGGTAAGGGCTAGGCATGCCCTGCTTACTATCATTTCACCACAGCCCAGCACATACATGCTTTTGAATTAATGAAGCAAAATTATCCATGATAGCCAAAAAGACAGGTGGATATGAGCGAAAGAAAACACATAACAGCAAAAACAAATACTTGTTCTAACTGTACCTTTGCTTTTCTTCCATCTTCTGTATTTCAAAGTAAACTGTTTTTGTTTTATGCTGTTATTTCTAGTTCAAGGTTTTTATTCCCTTCCTCTCAATGGGGCAGTAATTTGAAGACATCAGTCCTTATTGCAAAAGCAACTAAAAGCACTAAATAAGAATTAACTAAATATTTGTCTTAGTTTACACAGTCACAACTCTAAATTGTGATTCCTTTCCTACAAAGTGCTGGTAAGAAATCTAAAATACAAACATTTCATGAACAACAACAAAAAGCAAAGTGGAAGAAGATCTTTTATATACACCTGACTGCTAAAGATTTGGAGAGAGGCAGCACCTGCCTTCGTAGACCAGCTCTGGCTTCCCTCACACCTTGCATTGCACACAGGCCGATTGTTTATTTTCAGGGCAGAGAAGAGCTTTCCTCCCAGAGATGGAAACACAATGATTATTAGTTCACACTGTGCAGCAACACTACAAATTTCATAACCACTAATGGTCTGATACTTTTCTTATCTCATGGATCTTTAACTAGCACATTGTTCATTTTCTAACACTTGCCCTAAGCATCACCCATCTCTTTGCATTTATTTTAATTTACTCCTATAGGCCATTAACATTCTCTCTTGTACCAACGCCTCCAATATGCTGAGTAATTGTCCTCTGTATGTTGATCTCCATATGCAGTCCTTTACTGCAACTAAATGTAGCTAGGATCACAGGGCAATTTACTGTCTCTTCTTAGGTACTAATAACATGAATTTACCAGTAGGGAACTTCTATACAGTTGCTTTTTTATTATTATCCATTTTTGTGTATTCTTCCTGCAGCATGCTTGAGAAATGATCTTTGCAATTTCCCTCCTAGACACATCACCAGCCCCTGTAACATCTGGATAAATTCAGTTGATCAAATTCTCTTTCTTGGGTTCTGCTTTCCAATCAAAGGTTATCTGGTGCCCTTACTGGGATCAGTTTCTTACAAATATCTTGTATTTATTACTTGGGTCATACTCTATGATGTAGTGATATATAACTTCATCATTGATTCCAATATTTTATTCAACCCCAAAATAAAGTTACTTAACAGAAACTAAGAACAACCGCTGCTGTCAGAAGTCACAAGTACCATTTTTGTTAGTGATACCACAGAGAGAGAAAAGCCTCCCCTTTACACCCACATATTGTGTGCTTTTCTTTGTCTTTACTACACTAATAGTTTTCTTGAAAAGCCACCACGACTGACCTCTTCCTTTAATGAACAAAATCAACAGGAGAGTGTTCAAAACACTTGCTGGCAGCACTGCACTCTGCATTCTGTAAGGCCTGCAGCTGGATGGCATTGAAAAAATAAAAAGTCAAATAGTTTAAGTAGAAACTAAGAAAGGAGTATGAATATATTAATTATGTATTAGATGACCCATTAATTCCTCCAGAACTAAAGACAAATAATAATAGAAAGAGCAAATATTTTTTTAAAGGAGGGGAGAGAATGGGCTACCCATATTTCACACTTACTGGAAATATGAAAGGGGACACTTTGTAGAGTATATGATTATATATACCTATATATACCTATGCTGTAGGTATGATTATATATCTATGCTGTATTCCTGAAACTAATACAATAAAATATTGAATATAAACTGTGATTAAAACAATAAAATTTTTAAAAGTTTGTTTTTACTCATCTGGTGAGTTTAGTTGGTTAAATATCTGGAAGGTGTATGTGGGTGGAGGGCATCTGCGGGTGAATTGTGTGTGTTTCCAATTCATTTTCATTCTGTGGGGAGGGAGGCTGTCTTAGAGGCAGCATCATATGGTAGAAAGATCATATCTATATTGCTGAGTAATGGAGACTTGAATTTGAATTCTGGCCCTTCAATTAGTCATTACAGGACTTTGAAAATTTGTGTAACCTTTTAAACTTTGGTTTACTAAGTACCACATTTCAGATAATAAACCTTATGCTGAAGTTTATTCTGATATTAAATTGCACCAACATGCTTTAAGAGCTGGGCCCACAGATACAACTGGGGTTCAGCAAGTTTGTTTCTTACTGTTTGTTTATTTTTCTTCTTTTCCTTTACTATCCTATCCTCAATTCCATCACAACATTTTACATTTTTTGGTAAAACTTTTGTGGAAATTTGGATACCTTTATTATCATTCAAATTTATTATTTTGGATTGATATGATACTTACTAGTTGCCCACAGTTACATTCACCTGATTTGAAGTATATGAGGTCATTGTGCTAAACAAGATTTAATATAATTCCACATGCACTTTTTTCTCCTAAATCCCAAATTTTTCTGATCTGATCTGATCATGTATTAAAATAAAATTCTCTATTAAACTGGCCCCTGAAAAGAGTTACTCTAACATAGATTCTCAGGAATGTGGAAAATTAAATCTAAGTTGAGGAGTCTCTAGAGAAGATCAAGAAAAAGACGTTCAATTGTTTCTGGAAAGAATGTTATTAAATTGAGTAATTACTCATTTATTTCTCATACCAGAATTCAGAAAAACTATTTTGTACTTTGCTATTCTAACTCTTACTTATTGTGAAGAGTTAAATATGCAGCTCAAAGTGATTTAAAATAAGCTTAGTGTCCTCACCTGTAGACTGGCAAAAATATTACTCAATTCTTAGAGTTATTGTAAAGATAAAATGATACGATGGACTGGAAAATTACTCAGTAACTAGAAAATCCTGATGTTTCAATATTGTTGATGACTACAAGTATTAGAAGATCTCAGTTTATTTATGAAAAAGTTGTCAGGAACAAGTATAGAAGTTGAAAATATTTAGGCTGAAGGTTTTTTTTTTTTTAGTAGAAACTAGGGCTTCAATAAATAGTAGTAAACATTAAACTTCAGCATCACAGTAAGTTGGTGGTTTTAAAGTATATAAAATATATACATTACTGAGGTAGAAATGACTGCACTGATGTTGTCTTTTTCCATGTCAAGGAGTTCAATGTTTTCTAGAGACTTAAATCCTTTAGAATTCCCAGTAAGACAGGTAGGTGATATTATTACAACTAAAAAAATCACTTGCACAGACTTTATAAATGTTTAATATTGAAAGATGAAAAAAGAAATAATGGCCACTCCATAACAAAAAGGAAATGAAAGGAAAGGAAAGGGAAGGGAAGGGAAAGGAAGGGAAGGGAAGGAAAGGGAAGAGAAGGGAAGAAAGGGAAGAGAAGGGAAGAAAGGAAAGGAAATTTTAGGATACCATAGTCATGCTTGGCGTTTTCCTCTCAGAATTAAGGTTGAATTTTAAATCCTACACATGATTTAATCAAATTATTTAATCATAAATTATACTTCTCTGATTATCTGTTTCTGGCTTTACTAAATCAAATAACCACCATAACAATGTCAGTAGATGTCTAACACTCAGAAGAGCTGTTAGGAAGGAGACTATGGAGAGTCTTCTGAAGCAGGAAACTGGCATAATGTGTTCAGTGAGAATA